CATTTCAAATTGTCATCTTTCAAAATCCCAGCAATCCTGCAGTTATCTTGATGTTGCAAAAATATCTTTAAAATAAATTCTTTGCTCTAATCAACAAATAATAAATCTGGGCTCCAAATATTTCATATAATCACCAAAGTAAATACAATCACTTTGTAAAAATATTTTTTTCAAGTGTCAAACTATTCATTTTACTTTTCTTCACCTGTTTTCTAATTTTGCATCATTTGAGAGAGTAATTTCTTATTTTAAATGGTCTTTTAGGTATCCCACACCCAGTTTTCATTTTATTTAGCTAATTCAATTAGAAGGTCATTGAATCTGGAGTTTCCTAAAATTAATTAGCTTTATAAAGCAAAAATAGGAGTTCTTAACCCATGGAAGTATTTATGGTATGTGTGTATGTTGTAAGTATTTAATGAGTTATCTTCATAAGCATCCTGTGAGATAAGAAAAGGAAGTATTTTACAAAGTCAACTTATGTTTAGATTAAGTCATATCACTAGAAAGTGAACAGAATCAGAAACACTGTTTCATTCCTATTCTAACATGAGCTCAAGATTTATTTAATTATTGTAGGGAGAGTCTTGGGCTAGAGCCATTCATAAAATGAGTCATAAGTGCCAAATAGGTCAAAGGTCAGTTTGAAAAGAATATTGAAGAAAAGACTAAGGAATTTATTTAATTATGCATACTTGTTTCCTTCTCCATCATGAAGAAGGTTCTGCCATATGAACTAGGATTAAAAGAAAAGATAAAAATGAGCAAATAATCAAAGGGTTCATGAAAATTGTATTGGTATTATAGAAATTATAGGAATGAAGAATAAGGTATGGATCTGGGGCATGTGAGGAAGTAACTCTTTAGTCCTTAACTTCCTTTAGTCCAGAATACATTATAGAACAGTTTTACAGTAAATAAGTTTTGAAAGAAACAAAATCAGAGTGGAATATAAAGTTATTGATATCTTTTATATGGTCTTTGAACTGTGTAAAGAAAATAATGGACCTGACCTATTTATTGCTTTCTTTCCCTAAGTCTAAGATTTTTAGTAATACCACATACCCTATTAAATCAACATATATGCTATGAAATATATTTTGTCATGAGGACATAGTGAAAATTGATTATAATAATGTATAATATAATTAATAAATGCTTTACATATTTAGAAATGTTATTTGGATATTGAATTAATGAAAGAAAAAACAAATATATGTTTCACATATTTTCTTATTTGTTTAACCAGCACTTCAATATAGCAGTAAAAAGAAACAAACAAAACAAAAGTACCCCATGAGATCATCTTGACCCCATAATCAATCAACAGTCAAGGAGTCCAGACAGTGTTTCTCAAAATTCAGAGACAGTTTTGATCTATGAAAGGAGTTGACACTTCAGTCATCAATCACAATTTCACTAGCTCTCCTAATTTATCCAGGCACTTTACTAATTTTGGTTGTTGTTGTTGTTAAGTACCATGGAGTCGGTTCTGACTCATAGTGACCCTACACAGGGTTTCAGAGGCTGTGAATCTTTACGAGAGCAGAGAGCCTCATCTGTTTCCCACGGAATGGCTGGTAATTTTGAACTGTTGGCCTCGAGGTTAGCAGCCTGAATCGTAACCACTATGGTACCAGATTAAGAAAGGGAACATTATAAAGTTGTATACATAGAGAGAGGAACAATTATGACTATGAAAATGGAGTATTATCACATAATTTTTCACTAGAAGTAATTTTAAACAATTCTGAGTCAAAGTCAAGAGAATTTATGATTATTTTTAAAATCTTAAGGTATCAATGATCATATCCTGAACTTTGCTATTCCTTGTAGGAAATGTTGGATTCATTTCAAGATGTTAAATATTACTATAATCCTTTTCCATATGGATACACTCCATCCTTGTATTTGATTATCATGGTTTAGTTATGTTGGTTCAATGCTTCAATCTCTAGTGTTGGTATGAGTCCTACTCATAAAATGAACATAATTTAATTTGGAAGATTAATGAAACAATTCCACTCGGAAATCACAAAGAACATGCTGCTCAATGTTAATAGAAACCTCTAAGGTTTTGTTTATTTTTGAAATGTGACTATGGCATAAAATATCAAATTATCATTTTAATTATCAGTAAAATAACCTAAGATGTCATATTCAAATGGGAACATTTCCAAAGAAACAGCATTTAACCCATATCAGTTGGAAATTATTTAAGAAAAATTGAGCTTAAGTAAGATGTTTTCCACTATAAATGTATGCATGTTAATTCTTTGTTTAGTTTTAGTTCTACATGCATGCTCACTCTTACATATGCACTAGGCTATCAAAGACTCATATTCTATGCAATCTACACACAAGGTAAAGGAATACTGAAGGCAGACTTATCATAATCTATATTTTGTAGATTAGAAGAGTTCATTTAATTCTTTGTGTCACATTTACCAAGAAAACAAATTTTGTGTATTAATTTTTGATAACTTATTCTACGCATTTTTCTATGATCCAAACTAGAATAAAGAGAAGGAGAGGGGATCTTATAAAAGAAATTTGGAAGAATAGAGAATTACTAATCTAGTGCTATTATATTTGTTTGCTTGTTTTTTAAAGTGTTATATTTGGTTAAAATGTTTGTTTTTTCCTAATTACATTGACTTTTAAATTGAATATGGTTAGAATAACAGATGTACAACCCTGGTAAATGCCTGGAGAACTAAATTAGGTCTCAGTGAGTAATCATGCCATATGGAAAACAACGATGGGACCTGAAATGAGCTAGCCTATGACATCTAATATTCTAAAAACTGAAAGATTAGAGAGGTATGGCTGTGAAACTTCTCTTTGAGCACTGATTGAGAATTTGAGTCCGAAAAGATTCTTTCTTCTTCTTCTTTTTTTGATATGAAATATTTTATACCATAAAGGCCCAAGTACAGAAAAAGAAATTCCTGCTTTTGAGTGGTATCACTATATTGGAATATGAACTGTAATACAGTTCAAGTAAATCACATTAGGAATATAATTGATCCCCAAACTTGAAGTTAATCTAAGTAATTTAAAGTCTAGTGAATTTTCCTATGGAGTCATGTGAAATTTGATAGTGCAAATGATACTTCCCATGGAGCAAATGGAGATTTAAGAGTTTAAGATACATTGCCATGTATGTCACTATCTCTTGTCCTAGACCAGACCATTCACTAGAAAAGTGACAGCTACGAATGAAAACTATATATGATTTTAAATTTCCTCATGCTGTTGTTAGGTGCCATTGAGTTGGTTCCAACTCGTAAAGACCCTATGCACAACAGAACAAAACACAACCCGATCCTGCACCTCCATAATTGTTGTTAACTTGATGTTTTCAAATAGCCACATAAAAAAGAAAGAAAAAGAAATTGATTTTAACATTGTTGTTGTTGTTAAGTGCCATTGAGTCAGTTACAACTCATAACAACACTGTATAGAGTTTTCGAGGCTGTGTTTGTAGGAGCAGAAAGTCTCATATTTCTCCTGCAATTTTAACAACATGTATTATTTAATCAACTATAATCAAAAGGTTATTATTTCAACAGAAAATCAGTGTAAGAATTATAGATAGTTTGCATTCTTTTTTTCATGTCTTCAAATCCTGAATGCATTTTATACACATGACACAACTCAGTTCAGAGTTCAAGTACAGTCACATGTAAGTAGTGATTAACATACTAAACAGCACAGTTCTGGAAAATAACTTTATTCTTTCATTACCATTGGAATTTAGAGAATATTTTATTGATCACCAGCAGTATTAATAATGGCCTTAATAAATGCACTTCCATTGTGGTATTAGCTTCTTATTGAATCAGATTTTGTGTGTATGTCATTGGCCTTTTCTCTGACTTAAATAAAAATTATAATCTTTCTTACATAAAGAAAGGGTTCAAGTTAATCAAATCAAATCATTAACAAGGTGATTATTATTAATTACACATTTATTATCAATTTTTAAAAAATTCAGAGTAAATATACTGAACCCAATCTTAGATTATCATTAATAAAATTATCCATTGTTATACTTAGATTTACGCTAGTTTTCATTAGCAGAATATTTCTGTATTTATAAAAGTATATTTTGCTATTACTATATAAACTGTATCAGCTATATGCTGGTGGCTGTTATGTGTCATGGAGTTGGTTCCAACTCATAGCGACCCCGTATAGGGTTTCCGAGGCTATAAATCTTTACGGGAGCAGAAAGCCTCATCTTTCTCCTGCAGAATAGTTGGTAGTTTCGAACCGCTGACCTTGAGGTTTGCAGCCTAATTCGTAGTAGAATGAAAATCAACACTGCTTTTTAAAAATTCTAAATTTGGTTGGGAAAGCGAGCATATGTGCTGCATCTCTATGTCAAGTGAGGGAAACTGATTTTAAACTCACCTGACTTCTGGCAACTTGAATGTAGGCATGATTTTTAAATGTGAAAGTTCATTTTTTTAAAGAGGATATGCTATTTAGTGACCTATTTAGAAATGGATGTAATGTCCACAGTCATTCAGATTCATGAGGCTGTAGAGAGTTTAAGATGTCACAAGGAGAGAAATGTTCTTATATGTTATAGAAGCATAAAATGATTTTAGAAACAAAATGGAAAATACTTGGGAATAGTGAGGGGTTTTGCCAGTTATAAAGATAAATAGTTTTTTTTTATTGTTTGGGTCTGATGGTTTTTCTTGCTTATGAAAAACAAAAAATAAGCATTAATATTTTGAATAACAAGCAAGAAAATAATCTAAGAAGAAAAAAAAAACATTGAAAATACAATTAAAGTAAGTCACTGTGGTGTGTATTCTTCAGTACTGGTCAGGATTTTAGAATCAACACTATTTTTATTTTTTAATTAAAATGACACCACTTACCCAACTTTTTGCTTCTATCTTTACTATCCTGGTAAAATCATTAAATGATTAAAGGGAGAGAAAATAAAACAGGTAAAGCTGCAGCAAAAGGTACAAGGATACAATCCCTTCCTGGAAAGAGGATTTTGTGGCGAACCATTTCTCCCATAATGCATCCCACAGACCATATATCCACTAGAATAGGAGAGAGAGGGGAAGTGAAGAAAAGGGAGGAAAGTAAAGTTAACTAAGATAATTGATCTCTGAAGGAGGAGGAAAAAGAAGTTTGATTAGATGGCATAATTTTTGCCTCCCACCAAAAATGGGCCAGCAGGTGAATTAACATCAGCACTACAATATTATGTAAACATTATCTGATATGAGAATTTAAATTAACAATAATAATAAACTACTTTATTGGTGCTTCTGATCACCTGCTTAGTTCCAAAAGGTAGTTACACTCATGACATGAAAAAGCAGCAGCTAAACCCAAAGCATCTCTTTGGCAGTTAAAAATCACTTAAAGATTTTGTAAATATCATTTGCTGATGTAGAGGAAATCATCTTAATCTGTAGGATGACTGTTTCCATTTCCTGTTCTATTCAACTACAGGTCACCTACTTTTGTCCAAATTAAAGAACATTCAACCAAAGCTAAGATAACAGAAGAGAGTTGGTACCATGGTTGGCAGACAGAAGAAATGGAACCCCTGGTAGGCAAGACTTAGTTTTTCCTTTTTGAAGTTTTCACTATAAATAGTCATCAGTTTTAGTTTTTTTTTTGAAATATTAAAAAAAAAAATCTATGAGAAATTGATATAAAGTAAATTGAAAAAAATATTAAAAATATATTTTAAGTGAAAAAATATAAATATTTAGTTCCCAATTATTTTTCAGACTAAGGATATTTCACACATTGTGGCAGATTTCTACCATTTACTTTTTATTAAGGAAAAGAAGGGCTTTGGGGTTAAGAACATTAAATTGAAGGAAGGCAGGGTTAGGTGCACTGGACAGCCAGGACATGCCTGATGTGGGAGCAAGCGGGCTTTCTGCATGATAACCTTGTTCCGGGCAATGGCAGGACAGCATAAGAGTGTTAGGTGTGCTTTCTCCTCCATTCTAGAGATGAAGAAGAAAGAAAGAAAGAAAAGAAAAGAAAAGAATAATAAGGCATTGACTTGCAACCCTTTCTAGTGCAGGGAAGAAAAAGGGTAAATAACCATGCCTTGTGTGTGACAAAAAATGAAGAGATCAGGATATGCAAAATCAGAATGTCAGTCCCCTGGACACTTGATTTTTTTGTTAAGTGTTGCTCCTTTTTTTACTTTAAGAATACAAATATACCACATAGATGGTAGATTTTTTTATTATAGTTTAAAATACTTTTTTTTTAAAAAAATCACAGTTTGAAATAACTATAATTAGTAAAGGATTCATACAACAATCTTATTTTCCCAATATATTACATTTGGTCCATGCCTTGGGAAGAGTACTAGAAAGGCTTCTTCTGAGTCAAAGAGCACTAGAAGTGGAGCCCATTAAAATGCACCTGATCTACTTAAGAGTTGACACTTTCTCTTCTGCTGTGGTGGTGGTGGTAGTTGTGTGCCATAAGTCGGTTCCAACTCATAGCAACCCTGCATAGGGTTTCTGAGGCTGTAAATCTGTATGGGAGCAGAAAGTCTCATCTTTCTCACAAGGAATCAGTCTGACTCATAACCTCTATGCTACCAGAGCTCATCCACTTCCTCTGTAGGAAGGCGTAAAACTATTTTCTGTTTTATAATGTGAAAAGACACAGTTTATTTTTAAACTTTGATGGATGGAGACTTTTCATAAAAGTGCTCTTTAGTTGTACATTATACAATGATGAGTATTTTAATAGAATTTATACAGAATAGACTGCTAGGAACTAAGTAGAATATAGAAATAACTAGAGAGATATATACATGCTATCTTTAATCCAATAATATCATATTTAAATATATTAGGTACATTTTTTCCTTTAATATACTGCATTACTTATAAGAGATTTGCTGGTCAAGATAATACAGTCCTTTCTAATAGGAATTTAATATGTTGTTTTATAAGTTATTTTAATTAATAAAATTACATTGGAATACATTTTAAAGATTCACATTACCTTCCTTTATAAACTGTTGATGAGTATTAGATTTTCTTTATGAAAGATGAAGTGTTAATATTTCCCACTTCTTATGGTTTTTAGAATTTATAAAGGTTTACTAAGCAATTGCTACCCTAGATACTACTTATAGAGCAGTTTCAAGTATTAAAGAAATGCTTATTCAATTTGAATAATGTGGATGATTCCAAATTCAGTATTCATTTAGAGTTTGTTAGGAGTTTCACCCCAAGGACTCTGGTTCCTTTTTATTTGACTGTCTTTCCCTAGGACTGGAATCATCACTCTAAGAGATCATATGAACACCAAATGGTTAAATAAAATAGATCTCTTCCTGTTTCCGCACTCACTCTGAATTGTGCCGAAGCCCAAATAGGAATTTTTCTCAATATCTACAGCATGTGGCCTAATCAGTATCCACTTGACTGCTTAATCAAGACTCCATTTATAATTCTTTTTAACTATAACATTTTAGAGTTCTTCTAGCAAAGCATGCTTCTTAGAAAAATCCTTCACATTTTTTTATGAGAGCTTCTTCTTAGTAGTAGTAAAAAAATTTTTTGAATATGAAAGCTGGCAGCTCTATTTAAAAAATCTCATAAATATACATGAAAAAGAATATTACTCTTGGTTATCTAAAACATGCACTCATTTCCTACATTTTTTTTTTTATTCTGCTCCTCAGAAGCATCCCTACCGTTCTCCTTGTAGCCCATTCCTAGAATGACCTCAGGGGCTCTGTAATAACGCGTCACCACATAAGGAGTCATCATGAAGCTTGTGCCTGCTGTCCTGGCCAGTCCAAAGTCAAGGATTTTCAATGTGCAATCAGACTTGACTACAATATTACTTGGTTTTAAATCCTAATGATAGGAACAAGAGAAGAAATTAAAAGCCAACATCAAATTGAACATATGACTTCCATCTACTGAACCAACTAGGTAAGATGACCTGTGCTACAATCACACTGAGGGAACACTCCTTGCCTGCAAAGCACAATGTAAGGCCAATGATTACTGTCCCAAAGAAGGTTACAATTAGTTTATGTAATATATATTTTTTAAATGCCCTCTGGAGCTCTTAAAAATCCAGAAGAAAACTCTATTATCGTTTAAACAATGTAAGCTCTTTTGGTTCTTTTTTAATGATGTCATTGATTGTTATCCTTCAGGTTTAACCTAATAGAAACATAAGTCTTTCAGGATGTATTGACAGAAGAGCAGATCTGTCTTTAGCTGCCAGAACACACTAGAAATGAACTATCTTATTTCAGCTGCATATATGACTTCTGACAACCAGGGAGCTATCAGGCAAGAGATTTTTCAGAAGCTGACTCTCAACGAGCTGAAAAACAGCATTACAAAAAAAGAACTCCAGTAAATCTAGAATTTTTCTCTACCCAATAGTGAACTTATTTTCTTCTACACAATAGTTAACTATGAACTAATGTTACTGTCAAAGAAATGAGAAAGTACATCATATTAAACAAGTTCTCACGTAGTAAAAAAGCATCATAATCATAATTCTGAAGTATGTGTTCTTACCCTGTGAATAATTCCAGCAGAGTGAAGGTGCTTGATGCCACACAGCATTTGGTAAAGCAGGTAAGACATTCGCTCATGGTCTAATTCCATCTGAATCACCTGGCACAAGTTGGCATCCATCAGTTCCATTACTAAGTAACTAGAGGTAAATTCAGGTGTTAGTTCCCAATTACAAAACGTATTGTTTTATAATCTGGACTTTATTGAAGTGCTTCAATAAAGTCAGAAAACAATGACAAAAAAAGTTTGTCATTGTGTCAACTCCAACGCATGGTGAATCTATGTGTTGTTACAGAGTAGAAATGCTCAATAGAGTTTCATTGGCTGCATGCAATCTTTACAGAAGCTCAGAACCACTGGGTGTGTTCAAACCTCCAATCTCAAGATTAGTAGTTAACACAAACCATTTGTACCACAATCTGGTAAGTCTTCTGAACTTCTAGCTCTACCTTTGACTAAATTAAGGATGTAAAAATTCGAATTTTTACAATTTTACAATTTTACAAATTGTGCTACAAAAGGAGCTCTGGTAGCACAGTGGTTACGAATCGGGCTGCTAATCTCATGGTCAGCAGTTTGAAACTACCATCTGTTCCACGGGAGAAAGATGAGGCTTTCTGCTCCCTTAAAGATTTACAGCTTTAGAAACCCTGTACAGGGTCACTATGAGTTGATACCGACTCCATGGCACAAAACAACAACAGTGCCTAAATACTAGATAATAATAACACTCCACAAGCATTTATTAGTGTCTGGTTAATGTATGGATAAAGAGACCTGGGTGTACAGTGGTTAAGAGCTCAGCTGTTTACTAAAAGTTGGCAGTTCAAACCTACCAGTTGCTCCGCAGGAGAAAGCTGTGGCAAGTTGCATCCATAAAGATCACAACCTTGAAAGTTTATGGGACAGTTCTACTCTATCCTATAGAGTTGATATGAATCAGAATAGACTCAATGCCAATGAGTGTTAATATCCATGTTTTCCACCTGCTCTAATTTTTCCTTGTATTTCCTTAATTCTTTTCTAGTATAATGATTACAATTTTTTTTTTTTTAAGCAGAATAGCTCCTCCTATTGAATGCCATGATATCTATGTAAAGAAGTGTTAGAGAATCACCTTCTTCCTCTGCGTATTCTCATGATCCTTCCATTGCTGTTAAGTGCTGTCAAGTCAATTCTGACTCACAGCAACCCTGTATAGGGTTTCTGACGAGCAGCTGGTGAGTTTGAACTGCCGACCTTGTGGTCCACTACTTATCCTACTTCTAGATAGATTTTTCTAACACAAATTCAAAGATTCTACAAAATAGAAGTAAAGATGAACGTTATCAAATCCATTTTAATATTTCTCAAAGTTTTTGACATTTTCTTGAAAGCTCATAGAATCAAAATAAGAGGAAGAAGAAGGAAGCGAAGTAATGTCTTCCCTGATGGAACTAAGAACATGAAACAACCAAGTACAGAATACCATCATGACAGAAAGATAGAAATACCCCTTCAGGACACACCGCCATAAATAGACCTTTTTTAACTTATAACTCATCTACGCAGCTCTATCACCCAGATCTTATATGTATTTTACCTCTACTGGACATTCTACTATGTATTTGCCTTTTGAAAATTTCCCTTGAGTTATTGAGTGCTATGCTCTCTCCTCCTTCTTGGGTCTCATTACTTACACATCTTGGAACTCCTCCAATGTCTTCTGGGGTGTGAAAACATTTAATAAACTAATAATCTGAAAGAGACAGAGTGGAAAGGAAAAAGGAAGGAAGGAAAGAAGGAAGGAAGGAAGGAAGGAAGGAAGGAAGAAAGAAAAAGAGAAATTAATTAGTTAAAAAATATTTTGAAGACGTATCTATTCCAACTCAAACTCCCAACACCAGTGCACTGGTGGGTATAGAAAACAAATACTTATAAATCTCTGTCTTATTGACTACTAGTAAATATATTACAAGAAGATATATGACCACAAGGTCGGTGGTTCAAACTCACCAGTCTCTTCTTGGAAACCCTATGCAGGGTTGCTATGGTTTGGAACTGACTCGAAAACACTTAACAACAACAACATATATAAAGAGATATACTTTAAAAAATATATAGTCTATATCTTCCTGGCCAATGCAGACCACTATTGCCATTTTGGAGTTCTGGTGTGGGGCTGTGGGTTAATGTGGTGGACTGCAAAGTCTGGTTGAACCCCAAAGTCGGTGGTTCAAACTCACCAGTTGTTCCTTGGAAACCTTACATAGGGTTGCTATGGGTTGGAATGGGCTTAACAGCACTTAACAACAACATATCTTCTTATAATTTTAATTTAATTATTAAGGGCTTCAGATAGTTCGTGGAAAATGTAATAAAAAAGTAATTACATTTGCCACAAACTTTTTGAAATCCCTCATATGTTTTGTAGTAGTTGTCATTTTGCAAAGCATGAAACTCTCTGATTAATTGGGAAAAAATAACCAAATATGGTTAATTACATAACAAGGAAATATCTATCAAATTCATCTCCTCCATGCCATATGATTTTCAGATGATTTTTAAACAGAAAGCTATCATGAGGACAATGAAATCAAATGGAGCATATGGGCAAGATAAACCATCTTAAAAGGCAGAAATTGCAAGTTAACCAAGTCTTTTCTACTGAAGTTGCCTCATTTTTATTTCTTATCTCAATCTTGCAACCTCCTATTGGCTGTGGCTTAAAAATAACAACAAAACTCACATTTTTATGGTTTACACACTTCATGAGGACCAGCTCCCTGTAGGCTCTCTTGGCATGCGTTTGGTTCTGAAAAGGTCTGCTGAGCTTCTTAATGGCCACATTCCTGTCCAGGACAGCATCGTAGGCAGCACTGCAGATATCCAAGAGCAATCCAGAGTTAACAATAAAAAAAACCCTAGAACGCCTGCCTTGCTACACAAAGCTATAGCTAAAAAAAATACTATTTTGGAATTCTATTCTAGTAACACCTATTCGAGCAATATGCAAATATCACTGTAAAGAAAGATATAAATGTACAGCCAATAGAAAAATATATGTTTTGGATGGTGAAAACAGTTAATATGCTAGTCTTCTACAGGTTAGATGTTGGAGTTCATTCAGAGGCACTTGGGAAAAAGACCTGGAAATCTATTTCCTAAAAGTCCATCTCTGACAATGTTATACAGTATAGTCCTATTCTGACACGAACGGGGTCTCCATGAGTCAGAATTGATTTGATAGCAATTGGCACAAATAGTACAAAACTATCCTACTTCCTTGGAAAAGAGGGAAAAAGCATATCTTGCCAAAAAAATACAGTATATAATTGTATCAATGAGTAGGAGAAAGAAAGCAAGAAAAACATTCAACATTCCTACCAGATATGAGACTTTGAGCAAATCATTTATTATCTCTGGTTTTGAACTCCTCATCTATAAATATACACTATCTAAGTTTTCTCTCCCTATAGAACTACATCATTCTTTGGTCGTTTTAAGTGAGCATCTATTCTTTCCTTGTTCACAGGAAACAGTTTCCCACCCCCTTTCCACAGGAAACAGTTTTTAACATGTGACTTTAACTGACATGAAAGCACAGATTTGTTCAAGATCAAAGTCTACTCATCAGCAATAATAAACCTCAAAATAGCAAATGCAGTATTTCAAAAATAAAGTATTTAACCACAAAGACGATACTAAAAACTAATAACATTAAACTTTCAAACTATTCTCCTTAGGAAATTGGTCATGCTTTATAAAAGCAACCTATATTTGTTTCTGCTATGCTAAGATGACATAGCAGGGCCTGGGAATCAAATGAGGAAGGAAGAGCAGCTCTTCTTACTCTACCTAATAACCCACACACAAAATATTTTGTTTCCATCCCACCAGCTTTGGATTTTGTTCGTTTTGTCTTTACTATTAGAAGGGAATGAAGCAGCCAAAGGACTCTACAAAGGGAATGAATCAACCAGAGGATTCTACATTTGGTCAATTAAATTGGAAGTTGAATATTGGCTATTTAGGGCTCATGCCACTGAAGCCAAGGAAGGGTGCTATTTATAAGATACTGACAGATTCACAGGGTCAGACAGTCTTAGAGTTCATCAAGTCCATGATCCCATTTAATACTTGTTGCTGTTGTTTTAGGTGCCGTCGAGTCAGTTCCAACCCATAGCAACCCTGTATAGGGTTTTCAAGGAGCAAGTGGTGAACTTGAACCCACTGACCTTGTAGTTCAAATGGCTTTGCAGTTTGACGCATTAACCCACATAGCCACACCAGGACTCCATTTTATACTTAGTTCCCTCCAACATATTCCATCAAAAGCTTGGTCAATTTCTGCTTAAGTACCTCCAATAACATGCAATTCACTAACATCAGACTTAAAAGTCTGAGCACAACACATGACCTAGAATTAGTGCTTAACAACCCCACTTTTATTATTTTTCCCTTGTCTTTTCCTTCTCAAAATGAACGTCACCAGTGTCCTACCACTATTTGTCAGACATTTTACAAGTCCCATCACCATTCTGGCCAGTTTCCTCTGAATGTACTCCAGTCTGTTAAAACCTTCTGAAAATGTAGAACTTGCGCTAAATAATTATTATTCTAGGCATGGAGTGTCAATGAAAATTAGTGTAATGTTATCAACTCTTTCACTCATTTTCCCACTTTTTATTCAACAATTCATTTCTGACACAATTAAGACAGCTAAATCTGTACTGGTTACTTTGGTAGTCAAATCATTCATCATTGGCTAATATTGAGTCTTTGTTCATTTCAAATCCTGTATTTTCAACCTTGTGTTACTATTGAACTATGTCAGCGGTGGTATTTAAATTCTTATTTATTTTTTAAATTTTTAGTGTGAATTACAGAGCAAATAAAGTTTCCATTCAACAATTCATACATATTTTGTTTCATGTCATCGATTGCAATTCCACAAAGTAAAACACTCATCGCTCTTCCCCCCTGTGTTTCCTTCTTTCATTCATCCTTCTTTCTTAACTCTGCCTGCCTTCTAAACTTTGTCCTTGGTCCCAAAAGTTTATTTTTCCTAGGAGTGTGTTCTTCCCTAGTATTCCTGCTCCCCTTATAGACCTATCTATTGTTTGGCTGGAAATTAAGCTATGGGAGTGGTTTCAGTTCCAGGCTTGAAGAATTATACCAATTTCCATCCAACCAATAAACCTTGTCTATTTTTATGATTTTCAGTTTTGTTCCATATGTTTTCTTCCAATATTTATTTTTGCTCTTTATAGGCAACCAATGGCAGTACAGGTAAAGGAAAGAGTCAAATGGACCTGCATTTTATAGGTTGTGCACAAAGTCAGTAATGACATTGCAAATATAGGAATTAAACCTGCTCTCTGAAGTTAAGCAATCTTATGAACACAAAATAGATCAGAATAGTCATTTTACATAGAAAGACTGTATCTTGTGCTAAAATAAAACTGAAATCATTACAATAGAAAGAATAGCAACAAGGCTTGGAGAAATAAAAAGGAGTCAGAGATGCAAATGCAGACATTGCCTGCCCAAATAAGGAAGTAGCTCACAACTAAATCCAGGCATCAGTCAGCCAGGCAGATTGAAATAGCCCTATTGTGATTCCAGACACCGCAGCCAGATAGCATCTGATCAGGGTCTCCTTGTCAATAATCTGCTAATCAGAGTTTGCTTCAGAATGTTGAATGCAAGAATATCGGACATATTTGCACAGCTTAACTATTATATTTCTCATAATATAGTGAATCAGCATGATACTACATGTCAGTCATAAGTGAGGCTTGTTGATGGTAGTCAGAGATACTGAGATATTGACCATTTCCCACAAGACAGTGAGCCAGTTTCCCATCCATTATTAGTCATTTTCAATGAACCTCCAATTTACAGTGACCACTGGTTTCTTTCTTAGTAGCTCAGAGGGCATCTTCTCTAATCAGTTAAATTCAGCAAATGTCATTATGTAACCCCTTCCTTCCACTTAAAGATTCGAGGAATTTTGTCGATGGAATACTGTGGATTACAGTTGTGTGGAATACTGTGGATTGGATCATTGAACTTCCATTTGACCACTGTTTACCAAGCCTTTCTGTACAGTTAGAAACTTAAAAGTTAGATCTGTGTTTCCCAGATGCATTTTCAGCTGAATTCCAATAAAGTCCTGACAAGGAGATTTATTTGGGAGATATTTGTAAGGCAAAAGTTGGCAGTCACCTTCTGAAATTTCTTGTTTGTCAAGTAAGGTCTTATAGAGATGTGTGGCTGTCTTCTGAAGCAGTGATTGGGTATTTCCCCAGCTTCCCAGGTAAGAAGAGTTATTGAAGCAGAGAGAGGTAACAGTAAAACGAAGCAGTGAGGATAACAGTAACACATATGCAGTTCTAGCCCTATGATTCCTGAATATCAGCTGGGATACTGTAGTCCATAAATGTGGTGATTCCAGGCTAGTCTGAGAGGTAGGCGCTCCCTTTGTGACTCAGCTGCCTAGTGTCTGGGAGTCATTACGGGAAACCCAGGCTGCAACCAACTTTTACAGGCTTCCAATGACTTAGCAAGAACCTAATTAAACCTCTGCCTGCTTAAAATGTTTCTGTCTTCTGCAATGAACCCTGACTGGCACTAAAATCTTTCCCATTTTCTGTAATTCATTGGTGATTACTGGCAGCAGTTTAGCAAATGCATCTGCAAAACTGACATCAATGTTGCTCTTCAGTCAAAGTTTCCCATTACTCTTGAGTCATTTATTTTTTTTAAGAGTCTTGATCCATAGAATCTTATTTTTCCTTTCAACGGTTTTCTTTCTTTTATTGTTATGCCCATAAAAAGGCAGATAAATCTCTATAAAGATTTTCCAGCAAGTATGTATCTTAACACACAGTACTAACCCACCCACACTTCTAGCAGGTATATTCCCAAAATAATGATATATATGTCTGTTGTTATGCTGCACTTATCATTTAATCCAGTTTTATGATGTCATGAGGCTATCTTTATCTCCTTGTGTATATTTGTATAAAAGCACCAATGCTTGCACACACATGCACATAAACACATTCCAGCAAACAAATCTTGTTCTCAATGTATTTTAATTTTTTACCTTCCAGAATTTCAGACAATTTCTTATACAAATATATAAAAATTCTTTCTAAACAATAATACTTAAAAAATAATATTTTATTATGTATTAGGTAAAATGTTACACACAAAATTTGGGACCTATTTAACAATTTCAGTACATATTGTACAATGACATTGATTGGTTACATCTTCCATTGTCTTAACTTTCTTTCCACTCTGACTGTTCCATTTCCTTTAATCTGTCATCCTTGGCCATACTCCTTGTCAAATCATCTTTTCTGTAGGGTAATGTTAACTATTTGGAGGGTATCTAAGGGTGATAGCTTCAGGAATTCTCTTAGTCTCTAATGGACCAGAAAGTCTGGCCTTCTTTTTTCTTAATTTAAGAATCTCTACTATGTTGGAGTCCTGGTGTGACACCATAAGAGAAACACTTGACCTCAAGGTCAGTTTGAACTGACCTTGTGGTTCAGACTCACCAGCAGCACCTTGGAAACTCTATACAAGGTCACTGTGAGTCAGAACTAATTTGACGGCACTTACAACAACAACAACAACATTATGTTCCTGGTCAGAGGTCTAGAGTGGTAACTGGGCTCTGGGCTCAGGACAAATGAGCCATGGTTTGTGTATGTTTTAAGTCTGATGGGCTAGCTTCTTCTTTGTGTCTTTGGCTTCCTTCTTTCTCTTTTGCTAAATACAAGTTGAGACAAATACCAGTATCGTAGATTGGTGATCACAAGTTGTCTAAGCAATATTCATTGACTTGGCAATTTTCCTTTCT